GCTCCGCGGCATGTGGGATCTTCCCGAAACGGGGCACGAACCCGCGTCTCCTGCATCGGCAGGCGGACTCTCAAGCACTGCGCCACCAGGGAACCCCCAGACTCTACTTTTTACCAGCTTAGTGACCCTAGGCAAATTCTAAGCTTCAGTGTATTCATCTGTCTAATGGGGATAATAATAAAACCTATCTCACAGGGTAGGGTGTTAGGAATTAATGAGAAAAATTTGCATCATCATCAACTCAGTCACCTGAGACTGGTTTGCCTCATTTTAATAAGCCAACCCCAGGTGGAATATTATTTCATAGCGCACAGTCAAAATATCACACGTATTGCTTTATACCTAGTCCCTTGATTACTAAATCTTGACTAAAGTGTGTGTGTGTGTGTCTGTGTGTTTGTGTATATACACTTTTCCCTTCAGATTTTTCACATGTAGTTTTTCAAATGGCTATAATGATTTTAGTAATAATATTCTCATGTTTATTGAATATTGCTATGTGCCTGGCACAGCTCTAACTACTTTACCTGCATTCTTTATTTAATTATAACCACTCTTTTAGATAGGCATTTTATTAATACTATGATATTTATGCTCATTTTATGATGTGAAGGCAGAGGCCCCAAGAGGTCAGGTAATTTGCCTGAGGGTATGTGCAAACTGCGGATGGTGGAGTCAGGGTGTGATCCCAAGCAGTCTGGCTCCAGTGTCCATGCTCTTAACCTTTGTATGAGACTATCCCTTGGATTTCAGTGATAAATATTTACTGTGTTTCATTACAAATGAAGCTATTTAAAAGTATTGTCTTTACCTAGAAAGGTATGATTTTATTATTTAATCAGCATTTTACGATTCTGACAATTAAGGAATTTCTACTTTTTAAACATTGTGCAATGGACGGCTCTGATCCAACACTTCAGCCTCTCAAGTGTCCTTCATCCCACTTCCCAGACTTAGTGTAATTTCAAACCTTGAACCTAATCTGTTTTCTCAGAAGGTTCTTTATCAATGTACCCATCTCCATACTCTATTTCAGCTGTATTTGACTTAAAATACACAAAAACACTGTGAAGGTCACCCAAACCCACCCACCACCCCCCCCACACACAGTCACCCCACCACCACTATTTATTCCACAAATATTTATTGAGTGACTATAATGTTCCAGATGATTTCCTAGGTGTTAGGAATACAGCTGTGAAAAAACAGGTAAAACCCCTGCCCTGATAGAGCTTATGTCCTAGTGGGGAGAGAGCAAAGAAAGAAGTAAAATAATTGGTACTTCAGATGGTGATAACTATTAAGGAGAAAAATCTCCTTAAGTAGGAAGGGGAGAGGGAGTGTAGAAGTGGGGAGGTCACAATCAGGGAAGACCTCACTTAAATAACTGGAGCAAAGACCTAAGAGAAGGGAGAGAGCCAGAAATACAGATATCTAGGGGAAAAAAGGGTATTTCCAGGCAGAGGGAATAGTAAGTGTAAAGGTTCTGGGGCGAGTATGCTTGGCACTTTTTTTTTTTTTTTTTTTGCGGTACGCGGGCCTCTCACTGTTGTGGCCTCTCCCGTTGCGGAGCACAGGCTCCGAATGCACGGGCCCAGCGGCCATGGCTCACGGGCCCAGCCGCTCCGCGGCATGTGGGATCTTCCCAGACCGGGGCACGAACCTGCGTCCCCTGCATCGGCAGGCGGACTCTCAACCACCGTGCCACCAGGGAAGCCCTGCTTGGCACTTTTAAGAAAACACGAGATGGCTGGAGTGGAGTGATTGAGGGGAACACTAGGAGGTCAAGTTGATCAGAGAGGTAAAGGGGGTATATATTACAGTAAGTCCCCGACATATGAACGAGTTCTGTCCCGAGAGCACATTCTTAAGTCCCATTTTGTTCGTAAGTCCAACAGAGTTAGCCTAGGTACCCAACTAACACAATTGGCTATATAGTACTGTACTGTAATAGGTTTATAATACTTTTCACACAAATAACACATAAAAAACAAACACAAAAAAAACATTTTTAATCTTGCAGTACAGTACCTTGAAAAGTACAGTAGTACAGTACAACAGCTGGCATACAGGGGCATGTTCGCATCTTTGAAAGTTTGCAGCCTGAAGGTTCATATGTAGGGGACTCACTGCAGTCAGCTTTGCTGTAGTAACAAATGCCCTTTAACTCTCAGTAACATGCAACAGCAAACATTTATTTCTTCCCATGTTCTGCATTATGGCTGTGGGTGAGTTGCTGCTTCAAGTCTTATTCTGGGACACAGGCTGAAGGAGCTATGCCT